TCAAATTAACATTTTTCCAAAATTTTGAATAATAATAATAATAATAATAATAATGTGAGACCATTTCTTTGCTTAAGTAATTCAACGTGTGTTGCCGTACAAAACCATTTCTAAGAGTGAGTCAACCTTGAACTTAAGACATATTTTAATTCAATATGTTTGACATGCAAAGCTCTTCAACTACCTCTGTTGTTTACTTATACTTTTTTTAGAAATTAAAAAAAAAAATAATAATTATATTTAATAGTATGAACAAAACAATATTTATTTGATGAAATATTTTATTAAAAATAAATTAGGCTAAAATTTATTTATTATTAATAAATAATACCAAAACTTTCAAAAGTTTATGAATTTGTTCATCCAATATTTTTTTGATAATACAATTCTCAATTAATATTAATAAAAATAACAAATATATTTATATAATTTATTTTTTCATAAAAATTAACAATTCAATATAAAATATTATGTTTTACATTATCGACACAAATTTTCACAGTTCAATACTTTAAACACAAACACTAAACAAACAAATCCAATGTATAAACAAAGTCTATATTTGGAAGTTTTTATGCTTTCGATTTATATATCAGTTTCTTTTAAAATCTTTCTAATGTGGAAATATTGTATATACAAGAGGGTGTGTTTGTTTGGGAATTGGATTTTAAATACACTATTCATTTCATTTTTTTTTTCCAAAAAACATCAAATCAAACACCTATTTTTTATTTTTTATATTATTCTAAAAATCAATTTTACAGTCAAAACATCACGTCAACACCTATTTATTTATATCACATCATACAACTATTCAAATTTAAAATTTTTACTATTCAAATCCCAACTCAAAATCCAAACCCCAAACAAACACACACTTATAATCTTATATTTTTATTTCTTTCTACATGGCCTTGGCGTTCCTAAAGTTGTATAAATTTTTATAATCTTATATTTTTATTTTGTTTGGAAGTTTTTGTAAAATTTTTATTTATTTATAATTATTACATCTATTTTTTTTTAAAAAAAAATTAAACATTTATTTCTTATATTATATTAAATATAATTTTATATTTTAAATATTATGTCAAAATCTCTATGCATTATATTAATATAATTATTTAAATTCAAATTTTATTATTTAAAATTTAAAACACAAATGTGTGTTTGTTTGAGGGTTTGAATTTTGAGTTGAGATTTGAATAGTAAAAATTTTGAATTTGAATAGTTGTATGATGTGATATAAATAGGTGTTGATTTGATATTTTGAATGTAAAATTGATTTTTAGTATAATATAAAAAATAAAAAATAGGTGTTTGATTTGATATTTTTGGAGGAAAAAAATAGAATAAATAGTGGAAATCCAAACAAACACACCCTACTGTAAATGATATTCATGTATCATCTCACTACTAACTACTCCCATCTCACCATCTTTATCACCTACCTTTGTTTCTTTTCTATAATAATAATATAAATCATAAAATAATAGTATATTATTTAAAAGTTTGATTTATTTTATTAATTCATGCCAATACTTTATCCATTTCGGAACAAGAGAGTACTCGAACTCGAGACCTATGACTTTAATATTATGTCGGATCTTCAAAATGATCGCCTCACCTAAAAATTTATTAATATATTTATCCGCAAACGAAAGTTTCCAACACGTCCGTTCAGATGCATGTAGAGGTATGCGAATAAATTTAAAAATATATTTATATATTATGATTAATATAAATTAATTTTATAAAAACTTGAAAGGTTTAAATGTATCTAAAAATATTTATTTATTAAAGAAAAAACAAATACAAAGATTTTGAGAGTCCTACTGGCAATATATTATGAATTTAAATAAATTCATTTCTATGTGTTAAATATATTTTATTTGATACTCCATTCGTCCACACAATAAGTATACATTTATTTTTAGCATGGAGTTTAAAAAATAATAGTATTTTAAATATAGTTGGTAGATAAAAGTAGTGTAATGACATTTTTGCCCATACTTTTTGGTATAAAAGTAATAATGTGATGTAAAGTAATGGTATTTGTGAAAAAAGTGTGGTATTTAATGAAATAGTTACTTTGTAATTGGACGTCCCAAAATAGAAATATGTACACTTTGTAACTGGACGAAAGGAGTATATTTTAAAAGAATAAATGTGTTCATTGTTTTGAAATAATAAAATGATAAAGGTTTTAAGTAGGTCCTGTATGATTTTATATGTTATGTAATTAATTTAATTTAATTTATATTTATTAACTATGTTTTAAGTTAGTAAATTTTATCCAAAATAAAAATTTATTCATTGTTATGGAATAGAGAAAAATAAGAAATATATCAATTAAGATACGAAAAATAAAGTTCTATTTAACAATTTGTATCAAAACTATACAAATAAAAATTTATGATAAGTATTTCATATATATGTGGAATATTATATTTTTTAAAACAAAAATATTATTTTATTTTAAGAAATAATATACTGCTTTTCTATTTTTATTAGCATAAGTATAATATATACATACACCTACATAATATATACTCTCTGCATTCATTTGACGGAAAAACAGTTATTTTTGGTGTGGATATTAATATAGTACTCCCTCCGTCGACTCATAAAGTATACAATTATTTTTGGCACGGTGTTTAAGAAATAATAGTATTTTAATTAAGTTAAAAGTAGTGTAATGACATTTTTGCTCTTGCTTTTTAGTGTATAGTAATGATGTGACGTAAAATAAGGATATTTATGGAAAAAAGTAAGGTATTTAATGAAATATTTACTTTGTAATTGGACATCCCAAAATAAAAATATGTATATTTTTTAACTTGACAGAGGGAGTAGTATTTTAATAGTAATTGATGTTATTTTATTTTAAATGACTATTTTACTCTTATAAATTTATTAGTAATGAATTAATATATGTGTAAAAAAATATAATTGATATAGTATTTATAATATGTAGTGGAATAGATATTCACCAAATAAGAAAATGTAACTCTCTGGCAGTGAACAACTAAAAATAAAAAATGCAATTCATTTTTTAAAAAATTAATAATTCAATATAAAATATATTATTTTTTATATTATTGAAAATCTTATTTAAATCTAACATAAAAATATATATATATATATAAATTAAAAATACAAAACAAAACATACACAAAACACCATATTTATAATTTGAAGTCCAAGTAGTAATTAATACTTCATTTGGACTTTATGGTTTAATTCAATTGGTAAAGCCCATTGACTAATGCGACATTATTTAACCACTAAAAGCGTGTTTTACAAGTCCAACAATCCCAAATAAATAAATAAATCAAAGACATATAAAATTCTGAAAATCAAATCAAATCAAATCAAATAAATGTAAAATGAAGAAGATAAAGGGCCCCAAAAATCTTGCAAGAGGTGGACTGCCGTGTTTTTATTTAAATATTTATTTTTATTTTTATTTTTATTTCTTTTACTATATTAAAATTTATTGGTTTGTTTGTTTGAAAAATTTTACCAAAATTTTACTATTCATCTAAAATTTTCCTCCAAAAACGTTAAATCAAACACCTATTTTTTATTTTTTATATTACACTAAAAATTAATTTTACATTCAAAACATCACATCAACACCTATTTATATCACATTATACAACTGTTCAAACCCAAAATTTTTATTATTCAAATCTCAACTTAAAATCCAAACCCCAAACAAACACACCCAAATACATACTCCTTCGGTTTCTTTTTTGAAAAAAAAAATACTTTAATACATTTTAATTTATTGTTTTGATTTATAATATATTATACAAAAGTAAGTAAAAATTTCTTAAATTTTTGTATTTTTTATTATAAAATAATAACAATTATTAGCCGTTGTTATTAAAATTCAAGATAAGTTGGACTTACAATTGTATGATAGAGAAATTATTTTATTAAAATTTAATTTTACATCTAAAATTTAAACCAATACATATTTATATCAATTAAACAGTTATTTTAATTCAAAATTTTATTATTCAAAAACAAAATCAAACAAACCTATATATTTATACATTACTTCGTTTGTGTGACTTGAAACATATACATTTTGCAATTTTTATCCTACTAAATGCAAAATATACAATTTTCTTTTTTAATAAGTTTAACTACACCATACATTATAAATTTCTTTAAATTTATATTTATATATATATATCAATACTATCACATCAAATTATACAACAAAAAAAAAAAAACCTTAATTGGCACATATTTAATTTTAATAAATTATATTCACTTAAAATATGTTTAAAAAATATAAATTAAATTAATTAACTCTATAACATATAATATTACATATCATATATAATCAATTCAAAACTTTTGTATTTCTATCTCTTCTCCCAGTGAACAAAAATATATATATATATTTATCTATATTTAAAAATTTTCTTATTTTGTATAATATTAAGTTATGTTAATCATAAATAAATTTTTTTTTATATTTTTATTATATAAAAAATTATTTATGTAAAATAATATTCATAAATAATTTTTTGTTTTTTTCACTTAGCGCAAATATGAGGAATCCGCCTCAGGAGGGGAGAGACCATCTTTATCCTTATTGAAATATAATTTTAAAGTATTTAAATATATATATTTTATTTATTATTTTAAATAGACATCGACTCGCTTGAAGATTAAATTTGCTTACAAAAGTGATAAAACTGATTTTTTTAAATTGTGACCAAAATATATCTATTTTTAAATATATCTATTTTCACGTATTTATAAAATATTTTATATATTTATGTTAAAAATAAATAAATAAATAACCTTAAAAGGGTGGAAAAGAGATAATGGCAAATCATTATGATAAATATATAATATAAAGTGAGAGAAAAAGGTTAGGGAGAAGAAACAAGAAGAGGGCACTTTGATACTTGTTTTGGTCTACTCCAAGATTTTCTTGGACAGTCCAGGATCTCCAAAATCCATGTAAATCTACACCGTAGATTTACTTACCCATATATAATAAACGGTCTAGATTTATGAAGGACCAAAAGTCTATAAACCTGGAAAAACCATTCCCAGATACTACTGCTAATTCTTGTTCTCTGTCTGCTACCGTACGCTTTTGCAGTATTTATACATATTTTTTTCACAAGAATTCAATTGAATCTCCTAAACCCAAAACCTATTTTTTTCTGAAGCTATGGAGTTGGAATTGAGCTTAGGAAACGAGGAGAAGAAGACGAAGAAGAATGATACGAAGATGAAGAAGATGAACGGTCAGGATTTCTCGATGGATTTACGGCTGAGATGTGGCGAGAAATTCCAGAAATCCGATGGAGAAGATGAAGAAGACGCCGACGATGATCAGACGTCTGAAGATGGAAGCGACGACGGCGGCGGAAGCTGTAGTCCTTTGGAGCTCACCCTTGTCCCTCGTGCTCCCGTCCCCCGCCGTCTTCAGTCGCTCCCGTGGTCTTCCGACAACGGTCAGATTTTTAAATTCCGATAAATTTTCAGAAAATTGGGTGATTTGTGCCTCTTAATTTTTTAATTTTTTGTTACCAGGGAGTTCGGAGATCGGATCGACGGGAAACATGGTCGCCGCAGCCGCCGCGGCGGCGAGGGCGGTGGCGGTGGCGGAGGAGGTGTCGTCTGCAAACAGCGTCGGGTCGGGTTCGTTCCAAACGGAGCTGGCCGGGTACCGAAACCCGTACCCGTACCCGGATCCGAGTGGGCTCCGTAAAGGGGGCGCCGGAAACGACGTCGTTGAGGGGGAGAGAGGGTTGTGGAGAGGCAGCGATGACGAGGAGCATGGTAACGGTCGGAAGAAACTGCGGCTGTCGAAGGAACAGTCGGCGTTTCTAGAAGAAAGCTTCAAACAGCACAATACTCTCAATCCCGTGAGCAGCCACCATTTAATTAATTAATTAATTATTTAGTACAAGTAGCAACACGGGGGAAGCATTTGTTTATTTATTTATTTGTGAATTCCGACACGGCCGTGTTTGTGTTTGTGTACGTGTCGCAGAAACAGAAGCTCGCTCTTGCCAAGCAACTCAATCTCCGGCCACGTCAGGTCGAAGTGTGGTTCCAAAACAGGAGGGCAAGGTAATAAACATACGTGTACCACTATTGATTAATTACACGTGTCAGTATGTTACCAGTTCAACGGCTATTAGAACCGGAGCTAGAAGCTGACAACAGGTCAATTCTTACGGGCTTGAATTTTTTAAACAAATTAAATCATCCCATTTTAATTTTGATCAATTTATTACTGTGTTTAGTTCGTGTGTGTGTATATATATAGAGGTAAATCGAAAATTTGACCAAAATTTAATTATTTTATATTAAGTTGTGGTATCATATTTCATTCGTCCTAATTCAAAGTACAATTTTTACTCTATTTTATCTATTTTACTTGAAAATATATATATTTTTTATTTTAGAAAAAGTGTTAATACACTAATATCAAAATACGTTTCATTTTTATTAAATTATAAATATATACTTACACGCACAATTATTTTATACGATAGAGTCAAATAGCAAAAATGAACGGAAGAAGTATTAATTTTTGCATGCTTTAGTGTAATGCTTTAGTTGAATTATTTTTTATTTTACAAAGCAAACAAACTTTGGGTTTAATTTAAATTAATATATCATAAATAAGTAAATTAATATCAAAATATTAGGTTGGAGTTGAGGACATCAATTCTAATTCAACTTATTTATTATTTTATCGAGTTTGCATTGACGTGTATATATAATTGATTCGAAATTATTGCCTGAAATTCAATCATTTCGTGTTAAATTGTCATATTGTATTAATTTTTTCAAATTCTATTTAACACAAACAAATACATAATTTATATTAACATAATATAAATAAAGAAACCATAAATTGACTATAAACATGATCATTGTTTTACTGTACTATACGAGATAAATCAGCTGTCTTAATCATTACCGTAATCTCCTTCAATCTATTTAACTTAATAATTAACTTAAATTTATTTGAATTAGAACAAATACGGTACATAATTATCTTAATATATAATTATTTTAATTTCTTCAGTTAAGGTTGAATTTGAATTTGAATTTGAATTTGAATCAGGACAAAGCTGAAGCAGACAGAAGTGGACTGCGAGTACTTAAAGAAGTGCTGCGAGACGCTAACAGAAGACAACAAACGGCTACACAAAGAGCTACAAGAATTGAGGGCTCTCAAAACCGCCAATCCATTCTACGCTGCTACGCACGTGCCGCCCACCACACTCACCATGTGCCCTTCTTGCGAGCGTGTCGCCGGCGCCGGCGCCGGAAATCCCTCCGGCGAGCATGCATTACCGCCTCTAACTCTAACCCTAACCCGACCCGGCCCGACCCGATCATTCTACCCGTTCTTGCAAACTCCGACGACCCATCCGAATCAACCCGCCGCCTCCTGATCATATCATAATTAATTCATTTAATTTCATCACGTGCAGAAATTTAAAATAAATAAATAAATAAATAAGAACACACCAATTATACTTTATATTGTAAAAAAAAAAAGGATCCGAATTGTGGTGATCCCTTTGGATTAGTTAATTATACTTGTTCTTATGTAAATATAGGGGAATATATTAATATTTATGTATAAATTTTGAACTTTCTATTTTTTATTTTTATTTTTATTTTTAATTTTTATTATTTGTTTTGCTTACCTATCTCAAACGTAGATGATTCTGATTCAACAACAAATTTTTATAATAAATATATTTTATTTCAGGCATATTTTTATTACTATACATTAACAAATAATAACTCGTTTTTCTAAACTTTTTCTGCTTACTCAATTTTTTTTTTCTACTTAAATGATTTTATTTATTTTTATTAATTTCTTAATAATTTTTTTATACTATTCACACTTTTCTTTTAACTTCCTCCATTTCAACATTAAAATATGGAAGTGTGTAAAAATCAACATTTTATAATTTAAGTAAAAATTAAAAGTATTTTGATATTAATGTATAATTATTCTATCTAAAATAAAAAATAAATACTCTTAAATAAAGCAGATGAAGATGTTAAAAACAATACTTTACATTTGAATGAAATGAGTACATTATATTTTAAAATTGGTGCGTCCATCAAACTTATACTTCTTCCGTCCCAATACAATAGTTTTGCTTACAATTTTTGTCCGTTCCAAAATATAGTCTTATTTCCATAAATAACAATATCATCATAAAACTACCCTTACTTTTTCATTTTTATTACACAATTGTCACTATTTTTTTATACTACTATACTCACGAGAGCAAAAAAGTCTTTTATCCATACTTTTTACCAACTACTAATATAATATCAATATTCCTTAAATCCCGTGTCTAACTCAATTAAGACTATAGTTTTGGGACAGATGAAGTATAATTTGGCCGGAAGGAATGAGTATATATATATATATATTTGTGGAGTAGAAAATTGCAAGAAAAATTGGATGTAGAAATTAAGAGACAAAAAAAGTAAAGTTGGTGTGAGAAAAGTGATTGGAGGAATGGTTTGACAAATATGGAAGAGAATTTGAGTGAGTCAAGTTCAACTAGGGTCATGCTCTTTGAGTTTACATATGACTTTTATTCTCTAATTTATTTAATTTGACCATAGGAATTAAATTTATATTTATAAAATTGATCCAATGTGTTTTCACTTGTGTTATATTTAATTATTTATTTATAAATTTTCATAAATTTGACCTAAGTTGGATTAGGTAATGCAATAGTGTGGATGAGCTAGGTTAGGTATGGTATAATCCCAAATTTAATTTGAATATTTTTTTTTGAAATTGTAAAATTTGAATTAAACTCGAATATTATTGGATCCGATTGTAGCCGGATCTTATCCAACTAAGGCCCATCGCACTCGACAAAGACTCGTGGGCCCAAAAAAATATTGTAGTAATGTCATCAAATAAATAAAAAATATTAAAAAAATATATATATTTTAGTAATGACTTAACATGACAATGAATTTTCATGATGAAATATGGATCAAATTTTGAAATACCTAAAACGTTTAATAGTTGAAAAACACCTAAAATGGGATTTGAAAAAAAATAAAAATGAAAATACAAAAAGATTTGTTATAAACAAAAAAATGAATATGTAGAGAATAAAATATTCATATATTAAACTACTTAAAATATTAAAGAAATTTTTGTATGAATGAGATGCAATTATTAAATTTTCTATCTTTTAATTCTATCTTAATTTAATGTATAATTAATTATATTATATAATAATTATTTTTAGTAATATATTTTTTAATTATTCACTAAATATATATTTTTTTAAACTTCTGTATCGGAGATAAAAGTAATTTTTATGAGACTGCAAGAATAATTGATTAAATTAATATATATTTATTAAATATATTTTAATTTAATGAGTTTAAAAAATATAAATTATATTTAATATATAAAAATGAAAAAATATATTTATTGGGACAGAGTCAGGTGTCATCAATTCATTTATAAATACGTGTCAGCTAAAGTTATGACCGCCAATTATTACGAGTACGTTTTTTTTTTTTTTTTTTTTTTTTTTAAATTTTTTTTTCATGAGTTTGTAAAAATCTACTTCAAATTTAGTATTATATAAATGTATAATAAATATTTTGTACAATTTTTTTATTTTTTATTTTTTATTTTTTTGAAAAAGTAGAGAATAAAGGATAAATTATATAACATTCTTTTGTATTTTTAGTAAAACCTCCTTGTTTTTCCTTGTCTAAAAGTGATATCTGATTATAAATAAATATTTAAATTATGCAAATATCAATTTTAAATAAAGAGAATATTTTGTACAAATTTTATATTAACACAAAAAAATTTCACGTAATAAATAAAATATATAATATTTTATACATTTTTATTAAAATACAAAGAAGACTATATAATTTACCGAATATAAATAGTAAAAACCTTAGGTTTGAAAGCAAAATAAATAAACCTTACATTTACTGCACACCACTCCCTTCCGTTACATTATAAACAGATTAAACAATCTTATTTGATTATAAATTTTAATATTTGCATTTAAAATTTTATGATTTGAATTTTATTAAAAATATTTGATTTGATTTTTTTTTTATTTGAATAAAAATAAAATATAAATATGAAATTTTAATATTTGAATTAATATTTATTAATAGTCGATTCAATAATAAAATATACTATCTATGTCCGTTTCACATTAATTGTCTTCTTTACTATAATACGAAAATTTAAAAAAAGAAAAATAAAAATTATAATTAATACAAAAAAAAAAAAACGCACCCAACATCCTTTCCTATCCACGCACGTGACCCCCTCACGTGATATCACTATCTTTTTTTTATTTTTTATTTTTTATTTTTTATCACGCGATAATTGGAGTTAATTTGAATTCCAATTATATTATTGTCCGTACAATCAATGTCTGGATGGTGCAGTAACTGTGCATATATTCATTGTACTGCATTCATTTATTTATTCATATATGAACTACTGACACTCATTTAATTATATGTAATTACTTTCATCAAATTGGTGGTACAAATATTTTTAATTACTATACAATATAATTTATCCATATTTTTTATTTTAATCTGTATTACATAATTTTTAAATATAATTATACACTTTAATCATATTTTAATTTATAATTATTTTTAATAATATATTTTTTAATTACTTACTAATCGTATTTTACATAAATTCTCGTATCTACACTCAAATTATATAGGACGAAGGGAGTATCATATATACCTTTATTTTATCTTATTTTATTTTGGGTTTGTTTAATTTGCTTAATAAATTTTTTTACATGATTTCCAATATTTGTAAGATATATTTTATTATTTTATAAAAAAATTAATATTTAAGATAAAATATTATTTTTTTAAAAAAATTATAGTAATAAGAGGAGAATTTTGAGAATATTGTAATATGTGGGGTTTTGGTTTTGGGTTTTAATTTTAAATAGTAAAATTTTGAATTGAAATAATGGTTTGATGTAATATGAATATGTATTGATATGATATTTTAAATGTTAAATTATATTTTAGTGTGGTAAAATAAATAAAAATTGAATATTTGATTTGATATTTTTAGAGAAAAAAAATTAAAATAGTAAAATCAAATCTAAAATCTTGCAAGTAAACAAAAACGATTTTTAATTTTTATTTTTAATTTTTATTTTTTATTATTACGTTTGAATGAAAATTTGTATAAATAAAATAAAAATAATGAACATGTGAGATATATTAATATTTTTGATATTTTTTCCTTTGGAGTTTATGTATAAAGTAGTCTATATGTAATTGTATATTTATAATTTAAATAATTTTTTTTTAAATTAAAAAAAAATGATATTTTAAAATAGGACGGACAAAAATGATAAAAATAATATATTAAAAAATATCAAAGCAGATCTAAAAGCACAAGCTAACAAATCCAACATCAAGAATTCGTTTGTTTAGTTTTGATAGGATATTTTATTAAAGAAAATAATATATATTTTTTTTTATTGTTCAAGTAGGGAATAATTCACACGTGGCATGCACATGCATGTTTCTTCCTCGATCCTTCAATTGTTTTCAAGACAATCAACATAAATGAAATAAATTTAAATAAAGTGGAGGTATGTAAAATATATTTAGAAATAATATATTATATATTATATTTATGATAGTTATTTTATTTAAAATATTTATAGAATTTTTGTCTTACTTACCCTATTTGTATATCATTATAAATATGTACGTATTCTTATGATTGAAATAAGAAATTTTAATTTATTATTCTAATATGATATCAGAGCCAAATTTTTTCCGGGTACCTCAATTACCCGGTATATCTCGTATATATTTTTATATTTTATTAATGTATTTGCTTCTATCAACGATCATGTTGTTATTTTCATGCCGTTTCCATCTCCACTACTTCACTGACAGAGTCTACTTTCGACTCTAATGCCGTTGAGAGTCTTGTTTCCGACTCTAACTCTATTGAGAGCGAGAGAGTCCTGTTTCCGACTCTAGCTCTGTTATGAGCGAGCGAGTCCTGTTTCCAACTTTAACTTTATAGAGTGAGTGAGTCCTGTTTTCGGCTCTAGTTCCGTTGTAAGTGAGCGAGTCCTGTTTTCAACTCTAATGGTGTTGAGAGTTCTGCCTTATACTCTGATCAAATGGATGACTACACGACTTTCAGTCAATCTTGGCGAATTCAAATTCATACATGGAAGATCTCGGCTATATCTTTTTCGATCACTTTTGACAAACTCAAGTTTGTTCGATCATATTTTGAGTTTGAGGAGGAGTGTTAAAATATATTTAGAAACAATATATTATATTTTTGGTAGTTATTTTATTTAAGAGATTTATAAAATTTTTGTCTTATTTAGACGATATGTAGATTATTATAAATATGTACGTATTCTTATGATTGAAATAGAGAATTTCAATTTATTATCGTAACGGATGCAATACAAATAATTTTTCTTCTGTCAAATTTATTTATTTTTTAAAATTTATTCATTATATTTAATTATTAGAGTTGAATTTTGAACATTTAACTATTACATTATATTAATTTATTATCATTATCACTCCTCACTACCTCTATTATATACTCTATATTTTTTAACCACCATTAATTACTAATTAAATTTTAAAAAAAATA